ATTTGTTTTTTACAAACCAATTTATCACATTTACAATGAGCTTCTTTGAAAAGGGTTGCGATACGATATCCAAAGACATAGAAGATATAGAAGACATAGAAGTTATTATTTCAGGCAATAAGGGAAAAAGGGAAAATTTTATTCACAAATTTAAGAAAATTAGGATATTTTTGAACCCTACAATGACTGCGCGCTTAGACAAAAGGCTTTAGAGGTGTGTTTGAGAATGTGCTTAGTCTCATCACAGTGTAGTTGTCATCGTAACACTTGACTTTTACTACGATATCGTCTCTGCTTTTTCAGAATTCTTTCAAGCGGCCAGGAGTCGCGTGGTTCGCTTGTGATTGGATTTGCCAATTTCATTAAGAATACAAATGCTTACTAGAACATCTGCTACCTTCATTCAGTAACGACAGGTAATACGAAGTTCTTGCAAGATAAATGTCATTGATTCTCATAGCTCAAACCACATTTGCTTGCTTCTCGCGTCCGCTCCTTTCGGCTTCATCTGACGGAGCTTGCAACGGTTGTTGCGCAATTCACAACAGAGTGAGCTTTGTCGGTTTTTTCATCTACCCAACAGTCTTATGTAAGTTATCCAAACATTGCAACATTTGTCTTACTTAACAGTTTTTGGAACAAGAATATCCACGTCGCAAAGTTCAAAACTATGATATTTTGAAGTTTACCGCATATCTTCGCCACCCATCATTTGTAATCATAATTGCCTCTTGTTTTAGTTACGGAATGAGAAGTTTACGATAGTAAACAAGACTTGTACTTGGTTAAGAAAAAGTTACTGTGAAACTGCGATTTTTAGATTTCATATATTATTTTTGACTTGAGAGGGTCCTTTCGTTACGTTTGATACACTTTTTGATTCCATGAATCTTCTACTTTGTATGAAAAAAGACATTTCGATTTGGAATAAGATCAGCTTAGTGAAGACTTCATAAAATTTTATAGACAGATTTTGCGCTTCAGTTGAACAGCTTCTTTCTTATAATAATAAACTTACGTATCCTTTAGTCTCGAATCCTGACTGAGAATAGCACTGTCGTGAACGTCAAATTCAACTTGATCCTCCCCTCCCCCCTCCCCCCCCCCCCCCAAAAAAAGGAAAAAAAAGCGCAGGCCAGCTTTGGAGGAATTTTGCAACAACTTCTAAACTTGTACTCAAAAGAATCTTAGTGGAAAGATTTGTGTTATACTTTTATGCATGTCCTCCGGTTCTCTTTCGCTAAGTTTTTCTCTCAGTGGTTGCTAGACATCATTACTCGAGGTCGCATCCATCTCATCTACGTACAAAAGCAGCAGAATGTTTGACTTAAAACAGGTCTAATACGCAGATTACAGCACTTACTCAACAGCGAGCAACCAGTAAACAGTAAGTAAGGGAATCTGCAGCGATCATGCTGTTGTTTGCTAGGCAGCTTACGGGCTCCTATCCCCCGCATCACAGCATACCGCCGTCGCTGCTCTCGTGCTCGTCTCTACTGCTCCCTCCTCACTGACCGAATATCCAGCTCTGCTCTTTTTCATCGTCACCTTAAGTGCCGTTCACCTTGATTATTGTACTGTCCGATTGTCTGCCACCAACCGTATCTTGCAATTTGCGCAGGTAGCAAAGAGCCAAGATCAAGGCAGACGGACGCTAAGACTTCATAGCGCTTTGATGTGCGGTAGGCGTTTATGCTCTTTTACGACAGCAACTGTTCATAGTTACGGGGAACCACAAAACCATTCACTGGCGAATTGTTGACGAGACAAGAGGACTATCTCGAGATCTTTTCGCAAGTGAATCAGTTTTTTCTCATTGTTCGTACACATGTAATCTCCTTTTCCGCTAATTGCAATCATCTGATAATCTGATTCTAGAGCACTTTAAATACCACTGCAATATGTATTAAGTTCAATCTTGCATCTGGAGTGGACCATCACCCCCCTCTGAGTCTATGTGGGTCAAATATACCCTTGAGCTGTGCAGTTTGAGAGGATTCCCAAGTGCAGGTGTTTCACACTATCGTTTGCCTGTGGCTCGCTCGTTAATCTGTTTATTAGGCGACTATCTGGGTACCAGTGACTGCATATGCAGCGAGAGCTCTGCAAATTCATTTATAGTTTGAGCCACTGTTTGAATTCTCAAGAGTGTGAATTGTCACAGAAGCCATTTCACTTCTTGCTTGCTGACTTTGGCATCCAGGAATTCAGAGTTTTTTTCTAACAAGAAAAAGCAAAGTACCATCACCCTAGCAATGCTTGCTTCTAGAGTCAAGAAAAATTTGTTTGATCCAAAACTTTACCCATTTGTCCACTTCATGATGATCATTCCTAGAGCGGACATTACGATTCTCGTGACTATAAATTAGCGAATGCACTTTGACCACAGCCAGGAACTGCTTGATTTTTCAATATATATTGCCAACTAAAAGCTTCTTCTGATATTCAAAGATTGTTAGGTGAAAATAAATGAATATTCTGAGTGTTTTTCGCTTGCCGATGTGCGTCTGATACCAGGAACGGTATCGCATTTCAAAGCCCACACGTAGGATGCTATCCTCATTGACCGAATAAACACCTCTTAAAGAAGGCACAAGCCAAAGGACAAAGCTCAGGTCAAAGGTGTGAGTTCCATTGTTTATTCTGGGTACAGATAGGCGGTTAAGTTTCTTGGGTAACATTTTCCTAGTCCCCAAACCTCGGCCATCTACCTAAGCCCATGACCAGGGGAAAAGGTGGCCGACACCGGAATTACGCTGTCCACTTGGTGCTGAGCGAGAATTATGATACCAACGGCCACGCTTTAATGCTTCGAGGGCCTCAGATCAAAGCGGTGGTCATTCGCACTGTGTTAACGCTTGAGTGACAGGTCCGTTAGGTATTTGAGCACCGTGGAACACTTCACAATAAAGGCGTAAGTTCGGTGTGAAGAGCCTTTGGCAATTCGTGTTATGTCGGCCTGCGTTTGAATTGCTTTTGAGCACTTGGAATAGTTCAGAAAAGCTCAGGACACGATGCGTTTCTGAGAATTCAGGAAAGATTTGTGAGAAATTTAGGCTCCTTTTTAATCTCATTTAACCCGTCTTTGATTGCTCTACTATCTTGGAATTTCTAAAGCAGTCATTGAACGCTTTTTCTTTATCAGAACGTATCAATTTTTTGTTCTTTAAAAAATCTACATTCGTTTTTTTTGTTTGTCTTGTTATTGTAGTCTGAGCGTACTTTGCTCAGTCTCTCTGGTTGCTTTAATCGCCTCCTCTCCCTCCCCCCCTCCCTCCCGGTTCAGGCCAAATCCACATTCGACACAGCGATGAAGAAAAAGCACTTTGAACTTGGTTGAGTGCCGTAGAGATCTTTATCGGTCGCGCATTTGTCGTTAGGTTGGGCATTGCTTACCTTACATTATCTCTTGCGCAATCTGCGCGGACATGCTTTTTCCTTCCCGGTATGTGTGATGAACCGGAAAGAATTTTGCTCTAGAACTCATTTGGCTCTTTCTTCCATAGTTTGATCTTCCTGCTAATTTTCGTAATAAGATGAGCATCTTTTTCGCAAACACTGAAGATATAGACAAACCTTAACGCTATCTCACCAGATGAGAAAAAATTCGGTATCATGTTGTTCGGTTTGTAATGAGTCGCATGATTTCTTTTGCTGAAGGGTCGTCAGTCTTTCATACGAAATTCTGGTATTTGCTCGGTATGATGAATTTTTGCTATTGTCAACAAATGAACGGATTAGAACTCAAAAGTCATGACTCAAGATATAAAGAATATGGGATGTTTGCTTACTTTAGACAAGTATAATGCTACAAGAAGCTCTTTACAACTGGCTGTTGAGGTTTCTTACATTCAGAAAACTCTCAACAATGAATATGAACCAGTTTAAAAACTTTCTAATCAGCCCCGTCGTTACGAAAGAGTTTTTTCGCAGCCAATTACTCACCCCTTTTACGTGTGCACCCAATTCCGACAAGTGTGAGATCGGGAGTATCCCCTGCAGGGACGGATTCGCGCCCCATTGGGCGTCTGTTCTCAAAATTCGCACCTGGGAGATGGCAACTTTCCCAATATTGCGCACTAGTCCACCCTACTAAATAAAAGTGCCTCTAAAGTTATCTGATTTCGCACTTGAAGCATGTGTTTGACGTGCGATGCACATCGATTTGAGCAAAGATGATATCGCGCGGTTTAGATAGATGAAGATTAGCGATAGGATAAATTATCTGGCATTCATGAAGTTAATTAGGATGACATCTTCGAAAGAGCCGTGTAGGAATGAAAGCTTGCCATCATTTGCTCGAACGCGGTTATCTCAATATTTCTTTAATTTTCTCGCGCATCTTTCGGGACTTGCGCTTACTCAGGCTGACCCTCCTTTAAATAGCTTGAAATTGAACTTCTGAAATCTAAGATCTAATGTGTTGAGTTTGCATCCTGTAAATTGAATATTTTTCATTGGTTTAGATAGGATTAGCGATAGCCTAAATTGGAGATTTCCATAATGCTAAAATGCAGCTATCTTAAGAATTCTTTGATTTCCCTGTGATTTGTGCGTAGAAAAACCTTTGTAACCTTCCTGGCAGTAGCTCAGAGTAAAGAGCAGCTTCCGAAGTCCATTCGATTAATCTAATTTGTTGACAGTATCCTATAGAGGAATCATTTTCTGTTTGCTTTCGGTCAGCGCTCTAACTCTTCATTAATAGCAGATGTCTCGAATTTTGTTTTTTCCTGCATTTTGACCTCATGGCCGAAAAAAGGGGTGGGAGATGTGGGGGAGGGGGGGGGGGGAGGAAGGGGAAGAGGTTGCAAAGGCGGTGCAGATAGGCCTCACCTCTGCTCCGCCCTTTTCAAGTGGTCATGTAGAAGTCTCTTTCCGTGCTGTCTATTATTTACTCTACTCAATGATAAATTTGTATGAACCCGGCCATGAAAGAGATTATGTTATAGATGTTGACATTGCTAATTCTGCTACCTATTATTTCGGCGGAATCATTCTGGATGACCGTCGAACTGTTGCGAGTGGATTGGAGGGAAGGTTGCTTAACCACCGCAGGTTGCTCCCAGCCCAGATTCAAGGTTTAAATTCATACATTGCATTTTTATATTGATACTTTCGAAATCCATCTTTAAGAGCATTTTCAGGTACTAGAGGATATGTTACCAATCACTGAGAGGATCTCTATTAGTTGGCCGATCTCGGAGCATTTTGTGCAGGTAATCATTAGTTGCGCCACTTTGAAAGTATTTGAAAAGACCTTTTCCGCTGTGCATCCAATTGATTACTCCCTCTCTGACTCCGATACTACTTTGGTATTTACCGCTTTTGGCGCTGTAAACCTAATGCGACCAGAACAGGAGAGTATCATATTTTCCTCACTTACGCGCAGAATTATATCTTTACGCCACTAAGCGGCCGCTTTGGAAGTGGTGTAATTCCATCAATCATCGATTGCGCAAGAAAATCTCGTTTTGAGAAACTACTTCTAGACATGGTTCTTCTGAAACTCTTTACGATGGCATCAGGGTCCAGCACAGATCGTATGGAGGCGAGCTGAACGTCGTTTTTGGGGCGCGAAAGCAAAGAGGATATTGTTTTTGCGGCCGAAAAGACGCAAAAAATTGTGATATTTTTTAGTCGACGTTTCCTTTTAATATTTTTACAGATATGCTTTGGGGTCAAAGGGGACTTTTTAAATTTTGGCGAAATTCAAGGGGACTTCGTTACCAAAAAGCCTAGAAACGGACTCATGCTGGGCCCTGAATGGCATTCCAAACACTTGATATGAAACTCCAACACTTTACGCCCCAGAATTGAAGGAGACATATTGCAGCCTGAAGTGAATGTCAATATATTTCGAATGTACTCAATTTGAGGATGCCTCTCGTCCGTTTGTGTCTCACTGGACAAAAGGTAAACCGGAAGATCTGACACTTTCATGCCGAGTGGTAGGAAGTGATCCTACCTACGGCTTCCCGCGAGTCTGCGACCAGACGGCGACAATTCGCGTTTTCCAAGAAGGAGTTGCTGAGGCTTCTGTGAGTTTTGGGGCTTGATTCACTTATTGCTAAGTCGATTCCATGCTCCCGTACGAAAGCAGCTGCGATTGCGCAGTTTGAACTTTTTTGTCAGTTGCGTTTGAGTGCGATGAACCAATAGTTGTAGGATCGGAATCGACATCATCGGAACATGGCTCCTACCACTATGATGCCGGAAGAGGAGTTGGGCAAGAAACTGATCGAGATTCGAGCCAAGTGCTTCAATGTCACGATAGCTGTGCAGAAGCATACAGAAAGATGTCCATGGTGTCCTGACCCTTCCGATGTAGCGCTCATTGAGCTAAGGGTTGGTGAACAATATTTTTATGTCCTTTACCTCCGAATTTTGACTTATTTCTATTTGAAATTTTTTAAAAATCCGTCTCAATTTGAATTTCAATCTAAGATGACGTGTAATGGCGCATTTCAAAATTTACCTTTCAAAAAAGTGAAAAGCAAAATTATCTACACAATAACTCTTGCAAGGCATCATATTGGGCACCTGCAAAAGTTACTACTGCAGACCATAATTAGTGGATGACCTAAGAATTTTCTGGTGTGGCCCCAGCGTGTGTGCTCAACAACGCAAAAATCCCTGCTGCGAGGCCGCACACTTCTACAGTAGTCACCAACAGGTCTAAACATTTTCCACAGCTAAATTTTACAGCTGCCAGAAGATAATCCTGCTCTATCAACGTCGATTCTCTCACAGTTGACAAGAGACGAAAAGCTACTGCATGTGTGCATTCTGCTACTAGCAAGCATTGCTGTATTGACATCGTTGGGCTTCGCTTGTGTGCTGTTTGCATTCCTTCGACAGAAAAGGTGTTTTTTTATTGAATATTGATTTGCGAATTTTGCTTGTGGTAATTGATTGTTATTAATTATCTACGCGCTTTTTTAGGGCTTACCGGTGTATTTCCCTGAAACCGAGGCACCAGCCCTATTCTTCTACTTGCAAGGCGGCCGAAGACCAGAATAGGTAACTAAAAAAATTTTTTTTGTCTTCCACTATAGTGATCCCAGTATCGCCGGCTCGCTATTCTTTGTAATAGCCCGTATATCATCGCACGAAGGCGAGATAAGCGTGCATCCGTCGCGCAGATGATGAATAGGCATCACCTCGCACCTTACTTTGGTTATGATAGATGTCCGCGAATACTTTGTGAAGTCAGCTGATATGCATATAATTTTAGGTACGATATGCCTTGGGAGCAGACTCGTCCGCTTACCCATAAGCTGTCATCATCGTCGAAATCAGAGGCTACAACCACATCGCCGCTTGACTCCGTGTCGTCACTCCATGGCTCTCCTCCAGTCGTGATCCCATATGGCTTCCGATCAGGATGCACGATACCGCAGACGAACCTCTATCATCATATCTCTCCGAGTTCATCGATAGCGGAGCACGACTCTGGCAGGGGTTCGGTATGACTGCGTTGGTGATCCGCAGGTATGTCAGGAAGCATGTTTTTTGTAAAATCTCTTTTATCTGCGCTTTTAGACTGAATGCCCGCAAACTACGTTGTTCTTACGTTACAGTCATATACCTCCGGTACCACTTGTTCTCCCAAGGATCCAGGAAAGACTAGACGAGGACGCACTAAGCCACAATCGTCGATTACGCGAATGCCTCGTAGACGGTGGCCTCCCGTTACATCAAGATATTGTAAGTCTTGAGCTTGAGTTCGTCTTTTTTGTTATAAAACCATCATCTCAGTTTTAGAGGCTCGTTGCAAATGTGGTTTTCTTACTCCGTACACTCGATGCGACACACTGGGTCACCTTGCAAAAGCCGTGACAACAAATGCACGACTTGCAAAAAACTGAAATCTAACTTTTTTCGTGCGTCATTTCTAACCTTGCTGACTCCGTTCAGAGCCGTAAGCTATCTTCCAACTGCGGTCTGCATTGTGTCTGCTTTTGTAAAACTTCATGACCACTCCCTTACGAGTTTGAATTCTCTAAATACGTGGTGAATGTAAACATTTTTATGCAAATATATGTACAGAGAGAATATATATGTATATGTAGTATGATGTATAAGTAAATATTTGATTTGTAAATGAATGCCACACTTTGTATTGATAAAGTTTGTGTTAGTCCGTTTGCTATTCATGTATTACTCTAGCAGCGGATGTTGAAATGTTAGATCGGAGAACGCTAACATTTCTAATGAAAATTCAGAGGTGCCACAAAAACTCTGCAGACTGTAGCTTAAATTTCATGGATAAGCACACTCTGTTATGGTTATGTACTCAAACACTGCCACGAGAGTAATTTTTGTTTTGCTTATCAATTCGACAGCCCACTACTACTATTGCCAAAAAGCTGAAGGTTTGATGCCACCTATTCAATTCAACCAAAATTCTATTTATCACCTGAAGTTGTCTGTAGAAGTAAAAAGGTGCATTTGCTTACATTAAAAAGCATTTGAAATGTTTTGCCGTTTTAGCGCCACTAATTCAAAAATTTGAATATCAAAAATGTGAATTTCACATCTTACCTAGGTGCTAGCAAATTTTATTCCATGTACAGTGCACAATCGCAAACAAGTGCTTTTTTGTGAGGTAGTGTGAAGCGTTGTCAAACGCGTCAGTAAAGTTTTGTTGCCTCAACTGCCGTCTTACAATATATCTTTATGGAATATGACTCTTTGATCCGGAGGCGTAACGGTTCTGAACATTACAGGCTAAACGTAGTTTCATGCAAAGCGTTTGCTGCTTCCTCTACGAAAGCGGTCGACTTTTAGCAAAGTAGTAAGAACTCTCTATCCATAGCAAAGCCTTGCTGCCAGCCACTAAGTGCTTGTTAAGAGTATAATATAACTGTGGACTTTTCACTTACCATCTCACACGTGGCTCTCGATAGTAATGCAACAATTTGTACTGGGATCTGCAGCTTACGCCAGGTGGGTACACAAATGGGTCATTCACCTTTGCACTAACATCAGGCGGCTTCTCTGTGTTAGCTGCCACTTTATTGAAACCACACTGACAAGCTCCATATTATATTAGGTTGGTGCAAAAGTTTTGCCAGTTTTTTCGATCCATCGGCAAACACGTTAGAATGAAGATAAACAAACACTTCAAAATGTATCCGATGCAGAATAATTTCATCGTCTTTCCAGCTGCTAAACTCTCGTTGTGTTTCGTTGCGAGAGTGACGAGATACTTGCTGGAAATTACAACCACTCGTTTTTACCATATCCAAGTTTCGCTAATTTTCAAAATTTTTATATGAGACTTTCGGAGGAGCCCTAATAAACAACAGATAGGGCAAACCTTTTGTCAAGAAGCAATTTTTTGTAGCTCTATGGCTTGTCTTTCAGAATTTCTATGATTTATTTTTTGAAGTGACCCAATTTTACATTCAGCCTATTTTAACTTCGTAAAACATAAAATGTTAAACACTTCAGTTACCATTCGATGTAACTCGCAGTATTTCTCAATTTCAGGAGTGCGCACTGAGGTAAGCTATGTTTCAAAATCATCATGATTTGAAGCGAAAACCGCTCATTTACTGTGTAATGGTAGCGGTAGTAATAATCGAGTGTTGAAACCTCAGTATTCTGTAGGTTTTGCAGTGTTTGGTGCAATAACAGGTTATGCGTTTTTTTCCATAACACAAGACTTTTAGAAAATTATTTAACAAAAGTTTGAAAAAGCAGCTGAAAAAAAGAAAAAAGTTGCTTCTGTTGGCAAAAGGTTTGTACTATCTGCTGGTTATTGTGGCTTCTCACGAAGTCTCATACAAAAAATCTGAAAATTAGCGAAAATTGGAGATGGTAAAAACGAGTGGTTGTAATTTCCAGCAAGTATCTCGTCACTCTCGCAACGAAACACAATGATAGTTTAGCAGCTGGAAAGAGGAAGAAATTCTGCATCGGGTACATTTTGAAATATTAGCTTATCTTCATTCTAACATGTTTGCCGATGGATTGAAAAAACTGACAAAACTTTTGCATCGACCTAATACATAGAATTTTCATTATAGTTCATCTTAAAGGCAGTGTCCGGGCAAAATGGGGGTTCTGAGATTTCTCTGCCATGTGAAAGTAGCCCCCCTGAGACACAACATCGCGCAACTGCGAGCATAAAAGGTTCGACCTAAAGCAAGAAAAACGATTGCAAATTGGGGAAACTTACGCCTTGGGGCGGGGTCCTCCGAGTTGTTTGAATTCCTGCCAGACGACAGAGTACGTATGCCGCCACAGTTAAAAACCGTGCGCTCTTTGCAACCTCTGCGTCTTAGCCTGGCGGGGATCCCCAAATTTCGAAATGTGAGGACTTGGAAAATGCATGTTCTCGCCGTTTTCGCGCCTTCTGATGTGGATTTTCGGATTCAGCGTTGCGGATAACCCCAGATAAGTTGATTTTTTAGAAGTCGAGTTTCTGCCCGGACACTGCCTTTAACATTTCAATCATAGGGTTGCCCAGCTAAGCAACAATGGCGGTCAAGATTTTTTGAGAAAAAGGCGTTATAAAATGTTTCCTAGCCCACAAAAATGCTGAAAAAGCTTCCCAGCTTTTTAACATCCTTCTACCCTATTTTCACAAAGCTAATGTATTTTTATAGTGTTTAGGAAACAACCAATTCATTTGCAAGTGTATGCAAGTCTTTGCAAGAATTTTTAAACTCAATCAGATCACTCCTAGAAACTTTGCCGTTCCTGGGCTCCCACCTATATCTCTCGGTCGATTCACACACTATCAATAAATTAAGAATTTGGAATTATATATTTTCTGAATTGTTATGAGTATTGAACAATGTAGGCAATTCATATACGGTCTCTCTGGCGCAATCAATGCAACGTTCTTAATAGTCTCTTAGGTTCCTCAACTTGTACAATCAATTATCTAATCATCTGCACTCAATTGCTGCAAATTCAATTTTGCTTATAGTATGTGAAAAAGCGTTTGGCTGACATGTGTCCACCACGACCCATGAAAAATGCTCCCAATCTTTTCAAATTTCTTCTGCATCGAATAAAATGACGATGTGATGGAAAGAAGAGGGACTGAGTGAGAAAATCAGCTAAAACTTGATTTGCTACAAATATCTTATAGTACTGACAGCTTCAAAGTTCCGACGTTTTTAACGATTTTTACTCAGCAAAAGCACAATCCGAGGCTATAACATTCTTCTTTCCAACATCGATACAGTCACAGCCTGAAATTTGGTATTGTTGACTGTTTCCATCGCAGTCTGTTACGCACAACCTTTATGTGTATCATCTGTGTGAATCGAGTGTATGCCGTGAGCACACAAACTCTCCTTGTTCCAACGCAGGCTTCACCTCTATCCAAGCCTTTTTCAGTTGCACTTTCGCATGATTTTCGGAATCGTGTTGATCCTAGCCATGTTAGCAATTTCTAGGCATCAAAATGAACCGTTGCTTGCGAAAATAATTATTTTTCAAATGATAAAACAAAACATACTGCCTACATGTATCCTGTTATTTAGCAATGTTCCTAGACATTGCGAGGTGAAGCAAGAATCATCGAAGTGAGGTGTGCGATGACATTTTGTCTGCCTTGATGTGAATTCTTCCGTTCTCAAACCATAATTTGAACAATGCTGCATCTGTCGCTTGTCCACCTGCTTCGCTTACTGTATAAATCATCTCTAACGACTGCTGATTCCCAACAACCATCATCTTCCGCTACACGAATATGCCATTAGCATCTCTTAGACTAGAGAGTGGCAGAATCTGGTTGTAGTAAGTCTTGAGTTAAAGTCGAAACTTGTGGACATATCTCTTCCAGCATGACTTTTCATCGTTCTATTTACATCATCTACATATTTTGCAATCAAAAGCATTGCGAGTGTCTATCACGAAGAAGAGAAAATGGCAGTGAAGAAAAATAGTCCCTAATAAATCAGTCATCGACTACAGATTTACGCACTCAGAGAGTCACTCTTCTTCCATGCGAAGGTGTAGTTGTAACAGCAAAAGTACCGTAATTACGTCATTCTCCATAACTAGCCTCTCAATGACGATAACAATGATGAATACAGTCAGAAAAATTTACATAATCCGCCCATCGTATTGCGATTTTGTGTGTGTTTGCACTGTGATTAGCAATGTAGTCAAATATGGAGCGCACTACTCGCCCGGAAATCGGATCTCGTTCGAGCAGCGGATGGGCTCGAAGCGTTCTTCATGCCGTGACTAAGCTAAGAACCAACAATGGTTGCTGTACTGTAGCGTTGTTCCAACCATATTTAATTTAGGCAAACACTTTTCTGAACTCTGTTCTCTTTGAAAAAATTTATGTCTAGAATGCGTTGCTTTAGTCTGTATCCTCACTTCCGATCGCATTTTGCGTGCGACGCTTTAGACTAGGAATACCAAATTGTTAACTTTAGTTTAGTGAACATTATGTTTCCTCTCGATCAAGTGTGCACGCACGAAACAAAGATATTAAAGAAAGCACTGCAGGTCAACCGCGTTCTTTCAAATAATTTCGAGAGGTCCGTTCTGTATCTTAGCATAAAGATGCTAAATGAGCTTTGTTTATCTTGTATCACTTTGCGTCGAACAATTAGTCTCGTTTTGATTGCTGTCAATTAGACTGCTGCTTACTCGCCTCGGCTTTGAACGTCGGACGCTAGCATCTTCACATATGACATTATTGTATCCCCCCCCCCCTCAAAAAAGGCCTTAATCCATAATGAGTTCTAAGAACAATCGTAATCAGCGTGTAAATCTCTGCCCGACCAAATTCCGTTCAATGTAATGTTGCCTTTTTATAGAATGTGACAAAAAGGCAGCGTTTGTAGCTCGTAACATATTCTGGTTAATGAGGAACAGTGAAATAATACAA